GTGTTTTCTTCACGGATGAATCCCGGTTTAGACTGTACAGGGCAGATGGCAGACAGCATGAAAGGTGTCGCGTGGGTGAGTGGTTTGCTGATGTCAACATTGTGGATCGAGTGGCCCATGGTGGTTGTGGGGTTATAGTATGGGCAGGCATATGTTATGGACAACTAACAAAGGTGCATTTTATTGATGGCATTTGAATGCACAGAGATACCGTGACGAGATCCTGAGGCCCATTGTTGTGCCTCTCATCCACGACCATCACCTCAGCATGATAATGCACGCCCCCATGTTGCAGGGATCTGTACACAATTCTTGGAAGCTAAAAACATCTCAGTTCTTGCATGGTCAGCATACTCACCAGACATGTCACCCATTGTGCATGTTTGGGATACTCTGGATCGGCGTATAAAACATCGTGTTCCAGGTCCTGCCAATATCCAGCAACTTGACACAGCCATTGAAGAGGAGTGGACCAACATTCCACAGGCCACAATCAACAACCTGATCAACTCTATGCTAAGGATATGTGTTGTACGGCGTGAGGCAAATGGTGGTCACACCAGATACTGACAGGTTTTTGGACCCTCCAAATACAATAAAACTGCACATTTTAGAGTGGGCTTTTTAAAATTTAATAACATGCTAGGACCTGGAAATGGACCTGACCTGTAAATGAAGAGCCAGTGGCTCTCTAAATGCACATTGGTAGACTGTTAGAGACCAGACCATAAATCCTTCCCTATTACTTTACTGACTTTTCCTTCCCAATCAGGCAATACAGAATGAAAGCAATAGGCTTTGTCTGGCTAAGATGTTTCATATTTCTAATACATGCCTTGATTCAATATTTTGAAAAGAGCAACTTTGTTCAAATACGTTTCGCCTGTGCAAAGGTGTCACTGATAAAGCCAGCACAGGTGAAAAGCATTTGTACAAAGTTGCCCTATTCAAAAGATTTTTCCCTGTTGTGATCCCGGGAGCCGCACACTAGAGAGCAAAGCAAGAAAAGGAGGAAGCAGACAGGATCAACACTTCAGGTAAAGTATCCACTCCAGTTCTCCCAAAGGTAGGGAGGTTGGATGTAAATTAAATTAACACAAATAATAATAATTTGCTAATGTGTGAGAGAATGTGTGTGTGTCTGTCAGTGAGTATGTGTGTGTCTGTGAGTGTGTGTCAAATCAGTGAGTGTGTCTGTCTGGGAGTGAGTGTATGTCTATCAGTTGGTCTGTTTAGTTCACGGTCCTCATTCAAATTGCATGGTAAAGGTGATTTAACTAAGTCATGCCAGTCTTGTCACAGTTAGCCCAGCCTCCATGGCTGAGATTATCATTCTTGATCTCAGCCAGTGCAATGATTTCTTACAGGAAAACATTGGAAGGCTATTGCGAATGCGAGGCAAAAATGTAATCAATGAATCTCTATGAGGAATGTTCAGTTCCACTATGCAGAGCATGTAGATGTTGAACACTGGACTAGTAATCATTTCTAGTGGCCATCTGAGTGACTGCCACTAGAGATGTTACTAGACAGCAATGTAAACCCTGCCTTTTCTCTGCAAAGGCAGTGTTTACATTTAACACCTTAAGGACGGAGGCAATTGTACATGTTCTGATCAAAACAAAACCTGAAATTTGTCTATATGTCTGTTCAACCACAATTCACCTCTTTCATATGAAGTGCACCTGCACTTATTATTTATAATTTTGTCGAGGAGAAATATGGCTTTCATTTCACATATTTATATATGAAACATAATTTAATATGAATACAATCGAAAACAATGTGAGAAATTAAGAAATTTGGTTGTTTAGTTTTGCATGGCATTTTAACTGTGAATGTCATAATATTGTTTGCTTTTACTGCAATAAAATACACATGTTTGTATTCAGCAAAGTCTCACAAGTACAACAGAACCCCCTATGTACAGATTTTATGGTGTTTTGGAAAGTTACAGGGTCAAATATAGCATGCTACAATTTTCAGTTTGTACATATTAAAATTTGCCAGACTGGTTATGTTACCTTTGAGACTGTATGATAGCCCAGGAATGGGAATTACCACCATGATGGCATACCATAAGCAAAAATAGACAACTAGATAACTCAAGGTATTGCAAATTAAGAATGTCCAGTCTTTTTCAGTAGCCACTTAGTCAAAAACACTGTCCAAAGTTAGTTTTCATATTTAGTTGTGTATAACAAAATGCAAAAAATAAACATGAATGCTAATTTTGGCCAGTGCTTGTGACTAAGTGACTACTGAAAAAGACTGGACATTCTTAATTTGCAATAACTTGTATTGTTTACTCTTGCAAATGGTATGCCATCATGGAGGTAATTCTCATTCCTTGGCTACAATGCCGTCTCAAAGGCAACATAACAAAATCTGGAAAATTTCAAAGTGAAAAAAACTGAAACGCAAGCCTTGTGTTTGACCCTGTAACTTTAACTCAAAAACACCATAAAACGTATACAAGGGGGGTGCTGCTATAGTCGTGAGACTTTGCTGAACACAAATATTAATATTTCAAAACAGTAAAAAGTTGTAAAACAATATCGTCAGTGAAAGTTAGGGTGTGAAAAATGCAAAAACAAAAGCACTTTCTCGGACGATAAGTTATACTGTTTTGAAACACTAATATGTGTGTTCAGCAAAGTCTCCTAAGTATAACATTACCCCCACCCCCATGTACAGGTTTTATGATGTGTTGAAAAGTTACAGGGTTAAATATAGGGTTTGCAAACTAAATTCTCTGAATTTTCTGCATGGGTTGTCAGGCAGGCCCCTCAAATTGTAATCAATAAAATTAATTATGTAAAAACATTACATAAATACATATGTAGAATTTAAATATATATGTATAAGGGAAGATTTATTTATACTTACCATAATTTTCTTTTTCTGGCCATATGCCATGGTAGCTCCACCCTATCCCTAATTAGGCAGGAACTAATTAAAAAGATTTGTATAAGTACCACTATCCCATCCTCCATCAGTCTTGTTTTTAGCAATATCCCAGGGTGGGATCTTTCTGCTGCCATGGCATATGATCAGGAAAAGAAAATTACGTTAAGTGTGAATACATTTTCCCTTGGCCATATCAATGACAGCACAACAATGGGTAATATCCAAGTAATAACCAAGGGAGGGAAACAAAAAAGAAACCACAGATTTCAAATAATGAAAAGCAAGTAAATTAGCACAACACAAATTCAGGATAATTATCAGATAGCAAGAACACTTTTCCCGAATTTATCTAAATGACCAGCTTTTACATCTACCTTTGATAATGTCTGATGAACGTATTGGCTGATGACCAAGTGGCTGCTCTACATATCAGTTTTGCATATTAAGCAGCTGCTGCACAAGAGGAGGAGAGAGACCTTGCAGAGTGAGCCTCAAGTCCTTCTGGAACTGACACTCCTGAGGCTTTCTATGCCTGAATAATAGCCAACACAATCCATCTGCTAATGGCAGCTTTAGAGGTCTGAACACTCTTCTACTGCCTTTTTGGGCCACAAAAAAAGTATTTTAGATAAACGCAAAAGAGCCATCGTAAAATTTTAAGGCATCATACCAGGTCCAGAGAGTAGACAGCCCTTTCTTCCTTGTTCTCTTGTTGGTAGTACTTATTGAAGAACTAAAGAAGCAGGGAATTGCAATTTTTCATTATGTGGATGATATCCTGATTATTGCATACAACTAAGAGATGTTATCATACCATGAGGAGATCTGCCTTTAGTTTCTACAACATCACGGCTGGAAGATCAACCTCAGCAAAATACATCTTTCTCCAACTCAATCCATGATGTATTTGGAAGCTCAGTTCGACACAAGTGCAGGGGTTGTTCAGTTTTCCTAGGGAAGAATTCTTAGACTTACAAAGAAAGTCAACGAGATGTTGGCATTCAGAGTAACTTCGGAGAAAGCTTCTGAACTCGGAGCTGGAAGCACAATCTCCTCATTGATATGAAAGGAGGATGTTACCTTTGGACGGAATTCATGTACCGTGCATAGTAAAACTCTGTGTCTGTGAAAGCTCGATGGCTGACATAGTTCTGAGACCCTTATGCCTGAAGTTAAGGCCACAAGTAAAGCTCTCTTGATGGTGAGAAGGTGTATAGAGATCAATTCCAAAGGTTTGAATGGATGCACTTTTAAGGCCTTTATAAGCAAAGGTAAATACCAATTGGTTTGATCGGAGGTTTTATTTTTAGAACTGCCATAAGCAATCTTGCCTCAAAGGCCCATTTATGGTTAGTTAAGGCTGACAGAGCTGAAACATGGACCTTGAGTGTATTAGTACTGAGACCTTTCTCCTTACCTGATATAAGAAACTCCAAGATGTCTTTAGTTTAGTGAAGAAAATACGTCCCAGACTCTCTAATATGTAGCCAAAGTAGACCTTTTTCTTGCTTTTAGCAAAGTGTTGATAACTGCTTGACAGAAGCCCTTATCTTTTCGCCTTTTCCAGTCAACTTTCATGCTATCTGTTTGAGGGAGGCTGGATCTGAATGTAGAAATAGTACCTGGTGCAGATGGGCCGGGTCTCTCGGAAATTGTCATGGGGGTTCCTTGCAGAGGCTCAGAAGTAGAGGGAACAATGGTCTGCAAGGCTAAAATGGAGCTATGAGGATGATGGATGAATTCTTCAGTTTCAATCTCCATAGGATTAGGAAGATGAGGAGAAAAGAAGGGAACACATACCCCAGGCTGAATTGCCATTTACACAATAGAGCATCTTTCTTGAGGGTCGTCCTTTGAGAAGAATTTTTGTACTTTCTTGTTGCAAGTTGCCATCAGGCCTACCTGAAAAGGCTTCAATCTCCTTGCTGATATAGGAAAGGCTTCTCTCTTCTTCACTATCTTCTGGAATACCTTGTCCGACAGACTCCTTTCCCCTGGGTCTATCTTGACTCGGCTGAGAATCTGCTACTGAGTTCTGAATTCCTGGAAGATGAGCTGATCTCAACCCCAACAGGTGTGCTCGTGCCCAAGACATCTGCTGCCTCGTAATGTTCACCATCCTGTGACTTCTGGTATCTCCTTGATGACTGAAGCTGAGGAGAGAAATGTTTCAGTTTTTGTAGAACCGCCATGAGTTCCAGAAGGTTGGATGGAATGTTAATTGAAGGAAAGTCCTATTTCCCTTGTGCAAAGCTGTCTTGGAGGTGGGCTTCCCAACCCCAATGGCTTGTGTCTCTAGTAACTACTGCTCAAAAAATTTCCCCCAGGGGAAAAACTTTTTTGACAGATTTCTTCTTTGAGACCACCAGATCAGAAATTGATGACCCGCTGGAGGAATCTTGATCAGCTGATTTCGATAACCTGAATTAAACTGGAGAAGGAAATTGGCTTGAAATATTAGCATTCTCCATTGGGACCATCTTGTCAGTCCTATAGTGGAGGACATGGAGCCTAGTAGGCTCATGGCTTTCTCTGCCAAAGTTACTCTGCACGCCAACATCTTGTTGACTTTCTTTGTAAGTCAGATAATTCTTTCCTGGGATAACTGAACAATCCTTGCAAATGTGTCGAATTGAGCTCCCAAGCACACCATGGATTGAGTTGAAGAAAGATGTATTTTGCTGAAGTTGATCTTCCATTCGTGATGTTGATTTCCTCATGGTATGATAACATCTCTTAGTTGTATGCAATAATCAGGAGATCGTCCAGATAATGGAAAATTGCAATTCCCTGCTTCCTTAAGGGACACTGTAGTCACCAATACAACTTTAGCTCAATGAAACAGTTTTGGTGCATAGATCATGCCCCGGCAGTCTTACTGTTCAATTCTCTGCCATTTAGGAGTTAAATCACTTTGTTAATGCACACTGGTCACACCTCCCTGCATGTGACTTAAAACACTTCCTGTAAAGAGTCATCTAATGTTTATCCACCTTTATTCCAAGTACTGTTTGATTTAGATTTTCTTATCTCCTGCTATGTTAATATCTTTATAGACCCTGCAAGAGCCTCCTGTATGTGAATAAAGTTCAATTTACAGAGCAGGGCATAAAATTGTTTAAGGTAAGGTACATGTGATGAACCTTGAAGTGGTAGCTAGGGGTTTGTCGGTTTTTACCCGAACGGCTAGGAGCAAGAGGGATTATAGCTCGCCGTTTGGATTTCCATTCATCTATTATTTCAGAGTAGATGCAGCGTTTAAGCAGAATTTCCCAAAGCAGTAATCAGGTACCCAAACATTAGCCGAGACATGATGAAGGGTGTAAAAGGAATGCAATTTTATTGTGCCACACTGGCTTTTATGTGATTCTCCAGGGCAGAGGAACATCCCCTGGACCTGATGGAAAACAGGGACACAACTTATTACAACCAATAACAATACAGGGACAAACAGTGTGTCAGGGTATTTATATCGGCAGACATCTTGTGCTATGATAGAAATTAAAAGTGTATATTCTGAGTCACTCTGAACAGACCAGACTCCATTTTGTTATTCCCAAACTAACAAAAGACACAAGATTTCTATCTGTAAAACTAACCACTTTCCCAGAGCTAAAGGAATGCATAGTATATACAAACCAAGTGATAAGGAGAACGGAGGTTGGACAGACTGTCTAAAATGTTAATGGAATAGATGCATATCTAAACACAGACATTTGTGACAGAGGAGATTAAATAATACAATTTTACTTTCTATATGTACAAGGTCCCATTGTAAGTTACGGGTCAAAACTCAGAATTTGCCAGACACATAGTCTGGACAAAACTTAAAGAAACTGTTTGAAGTGACAGCAAATCTAAGTTATAGCAAACATAAAGATAACGCAAAATGACATCAAAATAGCCTCCAGGAAAAGTTAACTTCTTCCTGGATAGGTATGTTTAGTGGGACAAGACTGCCCTCTATAGACCAAATACCTAAATTGCGATCCCTAGGTAAGCTCACCTCTAGTGCTTCTATTGGGTCATCAACTAATGACGTACAGAGAGTCTGGCCCTTTAAAAGTTAAGACAAAGGAGGTAGACGAGGAATGCAAGGGTATGCAAAAGCAAAGAAGTGAGTAGTGGGGAGCAATGACACTCAGAAATTCCTACACACCTCCATGCAGAGAGACATCCAAACAAGTTCCTGAGACTACCAATCGGATGAAATATCTACTCAACTGGTAATTATACTGGTTTCATTTAATTAATTAAATTAATTAAAATTTACTAATAGCATGATATATGACTGGATAAATCACGGTCAGATTTCCATATTTAGAAATCTTAGTTAACTAAAGAATATATAGTTATAAACATTCCATTCTGCAGGTGGAATTAAGAATAATTATATATTAATGTGATAGTATCACATGTTAGCATACCGCTGTTTTTATCCAGGTGTATTGATTTGCTCTAATATAAGATAAGATATCTGTTTAGGCAAATTAGAAACAAACTCTGCTTATAGAACATGGTAGATTCTCTTATTGGATGGTTCCAGGAAATGACTAATGAACTGGTTTAAATGTTATTTTATTTAAAATTACATAAGAATAGATCTTAATTACCTAGGAGATCTAGCCAGCATTGAAAGGGTTATTCTAACTGTTAGTCTGGGTTTTATGGCCCTTCTCTGTGAAAAGCTTCACTTTCAGTCTGTAAGGATACCTCATAAATCGTGTAAGTCTTGAGAGAAAATGCTGTTTAGCCATTGAAACGTGTATAACCATTCCTTTGTATTGCATCATTTTTACTGGATATTCATTGATTATTGTCACGCATGTTACATAATATTATTTGTTAATTATTGGTTATTATAAATAAATCTATTTTTATAATATTGTGATATTATTTATATGAAATACATTCCACTTAACACGATAACAATCTTTGGGATATGAGAATTGAATTAGTGGGCAATTCTCACTGTTTACTATTATTATTATCCCATAAATATCCCCACAAGTGACACTCCCAGTACAAACAGTTAATTCCCTCCTCTCTGCCTGGAGATAATTGGGTTAGATAAAGTAATAACTTGGGCAGAGGGAACACAATTTTCACAATATTTGAAAAACACCCCAAAACATACAGACCCCCACAAACAAACATCCCCTGATAACCCCGATCTGGGTAACCATCATATCCAAAAAATCACCCAGATCGGTTCAGGGGTTTTCGAATTTCATGGAAGTCCCATTTGACCTACCGCACACGAAGCTCCTGCCCAGAAACAGTTCCATGTGTTTAGGCTGTGCGGTCGGTCTATTTCGTTAAGTCACAAAACCGAACAAATGGAGGAAAGGATCCCTCTGGCTCATAGCAGCGATTGTTCCGCTGGTTCGTGGGAGCCAAACTACTGAACAGTGCTCTCCTCAGGAAAAGGAAGCAGGCGTTCGTAAGTTTGACCGGTGTTTCGGGAAGGCGAGTGTCCGATTTTAGTTCCAGACACTCGACGACCAAGTCCCGCTGCCTCCTTTAGTGCAAACAAGATGGCCGCCGTTTTCTGTTCCACGTGGCGTTCGGCTATACAAACGGCGGCTACACATAGAGAGCACTTAATTGATGGTTTCCTTTAGTAATAATGAGCCAAAGGGGTGGTCGGTTGTTCGGTAGTTTGAAAACTACCAAAGAAATAAAACGAAATATAAACAAAAATCCAAAATTTTACACAAACAAAGTTAGAAAATGCTGATTTTCTCACAGTACATCTGATTGAAAGTGAAACCAATTTTGTTTCATGCAGGCTGTGTCAGTCAGAACCAGGGTAGGTGTGGCGAGAGATGTATAAACAGAAACAAAGTGATTTAACTCCTAAATGGCAGTGAATTGAGCAGTGAAACTTCAAAGGCATGATCTATACCCTAAAACTGCTTCATTAAGCTAAAAGTTGTTTAGGTGACTATAGTGTTCCTTTAGTTCTGCAATAAGGACTACCAACACCTTTGTGAAAGTTCTTGGTGCTGTACTGAGTCCAAAGGGAAGTGCAGGAAACTGCAAATGGCCTTTTTACATTGCAAACCTTAGGCAGTTCTGGTGTGCACAGGTAATGTGAATATGAAAATAAGCGTCTAATAAGTCTATTGATATCATCCACTGATTTGTAAAAACTGCCTTCATGATGGACTGAATGGATTCCATCCTGAACTTGCAGACATATAAATACTGGTTCAGTTAGAGTAAATCTAGAATGGGTCTCCATCCTCCTGAAGATTTTCTTGTTAGAACAAGATGAGAGTAGAACCCAAAGGTTATTTCTGCCCTTGGAACTTGTCTGATAACTCCTTGTTCTTGTAGGGAGAATACAAACTTTTGAAGAGCAATACTTTTTTCTTTGTCTGCTGGCCCTTTCGTTATCTGAAAAGATCTTTGAGGAGGAGTCCTGAGGAATTCTAGAAGATATGCCCTTCTGGTTATCTCTAGGATCCATCTGTAATTTGTGGATTCCTTCCATGTCTGTTGGAATAGGAGCAGACGTGCCCATACTCCACCTGACTGGAAGATAATGCCGTCATTGGTTTCTGGAATTCATAGAGGAGAAGGTACCTCTGGATTTGCCTCCTCTGATACCAGGCTGTCCAATTCTCCAAGATTGGGTTCTTCCGTATTACCTTTCCAGTATGTAGGCTCTATTGTCTCAGAAAGAGTAGTATTCTTATGCTCTTTTGGAACTAAATGATCCTTTTGGTCTCTGAACTTGGGGTAGAAATGTCATTCTGCCTTCCGCTGCTCTCCTTACGCAGTCATCCAAGTTCTTGGCAAACAACATATTACCATAAAAAGGGTAAGGCAGAGGCCTGTTCCTGCATCTACATATGTTTTTGAGAGACTGAAGTCTATTTTCTTGTCCTTAGGGTCTTTAAAAGATCCTGCATTATCTACAGATTGGTGCACTTAACTAGTTTGACTACAGACACATCTACTTTAGAAGGAGAATCCCATGTCTCAGAGTCCTTACTCTCAAATGCATAAAGACGGAAAAATCTGCTGTTAGCCGAGGACTTCTTGTCTGACTTGGACTATTCATCTATAATAAGGTCACTTATAGTCTCATGAACAGGAAAAGTTTTTCTCCTTAGGTCTGAGAGGTAGCGGCTAGTGGAAGGCTCCTCTTTGGTAGAGACCTTTAGGTTTTATGCACTCTAGAAAGCAAATGATCTATTTCTGTAGGTTCAAGGAAATTTGGTGCTAGTACAATTTCTTCCTCTGCAGAACAAGCTCAAGTTCTCTTAAGGGTTCCACCTCCATAAGATCCTCTTCTGACTCATCTTGAG